ATTGATAGTTCAATTGGCTTCTAATATACAGTGGATATAAAAAGTCTACACACCGGTTAAAATGTCAGGTTTCTGTGATGTAATAAAATGAGACAAAGATAAATCATTTCAGAACTTTTTCCACCTTTAGTGTAATCTATAAACTGTATAACTCAGTTAAACAACAAAACTGGAATCTTTTAGGTGGAGGGAAGTAAAAATAAAAAACTAAAATAATATGGTTGCATAACTGTGCACACCCTTAAACTAATACTTTGTTGAAGCACCTTTTGATTTGATTCCAGCACTCAGTCCTTTTGGATATGAGTCTATCAGCATGGCACATCTTGACTTGGCAATATTTGCCCACTCTTCCTTGCAAAAACATTCCAAATCTGTCCGATTGCGAGGGCATCTCCTGTGCACAGCCCTCTTCAGATCACCCCACAAAATTTTCCATTGGATTCAGCTCTGGGCTGTGGCTGGGCCATTCCAAAACCTTAATCTTCTTCTGGTGAAGCCATTCCTTTGTTGATTTGGATGTATGCTTTGGGTCATTGTCATGCTGAAAGATGAAGTTCCTCTTCATGTTCAGCTTTCTAGCAGAAGCCTGAAGGTTTTGTGTCAATATTGACTGGTATTTGGAACTGTTCATAATTCCCTCTACCTTGACTAAGGCCCCAGTTCCAGCTGAATAAAAACAGACCCAAACCATGATGCTTCCACCACCATGCTTCACTATGGTTATGGTGTTCTTTTGGTGATGTGCAGTGTTGTTTTTGCTGCCAAACATATCTTTTGGAATTATTGCCAAAAAGTTAAACCTTGTTTTTTTCAGACCATAACACATTTTCCCCACATGCTTTTGGCAGACTTCAGATGTGTTTTTACAAAATTTAGTCGGGCTTGGATGTTTTTCTTCATAAGAAAAGGCTTACATCTTGCCACTCTACCCCATAGCCCAGACATACAAAGAATATAGGAGATTGTTGTCACATGTACCACACAGCCAGTACTTGCCAGATATTCCTACAGCTCCTTTAATGTTGCTGTAGGCCTCTTGACAGCCTCACAGACCAGTTTTTTTTCTGGTCTTTCCATCAATTTTGGAGGAATATCCAGTTCTTGGTAATGTCACTATTTTCTCCACTTGATGAGGACTGTCTTCACTGTGTTCCATGGTATATCTAATGCCTTGGAAATTCTTTTGTACCCTTCTCCTGACTGATACTTTTTAACAATAAGATCCCTTCTGATGCTTTGAAAGCTCACTGAGGATTATGATTTTTGCTGTAAGATGCAAGAAAATGTCAGGAAAGACCTACTAGAACAGCTGAACTTTATCTGGGGTTACTCAGAGGCACGTTATACAGCGAGGAACAGAAGTATTTGAACACCCTGCGATTTTGCAAGTTCTCCCACTTAGAAATCATGGAGGGGTCTGAAATTCACATTGTAGGTGCATTCCCACTCCGAGAGACAGAATTAAAAAAAAATTCAGGAAATCACATTGTATCATTTTTAAAGAATTTATTTGTCACTGCTGAACATAAGTATTTGAACACCTAAGAAACAGCAAGAATTCTGGCTCTCAAAGACCTGTTACTGTGCCTTTAAAAAGTCTACCTCTACTCCACCCATTAATCTAACTTTGTAGCACCTGTCTGAGCTCTTTAAAGACACCTGTCCACCCCACAGTCAGTCAGACGCCAACTACTACCATGGGCAAGATCAAAGAGCTGTCAAAAGACACCAGAGACAAAATTGTGGACCTCCACAAGGCTGGAAAGGGCTACAGGACAATTGCCAAGCAGCTTGGTGAAAATAGATCAACTGTTGGAGCAATTGTTAGAAAATGGAAGAGGCTAAAGACGACTGTCAGTCTCCTTCAGATTGGGGCTCCATGCAAGATCTCACCTCATGGGGTATCACTGATAAGAAAGGTGAGGAATCAGCCCAGAACTACAAGGGAGGAGCTGGTCAATGACATGAAGAGAGCTAGGACCACAGTTTCAAAGGTCACTGTCGGTAGAACACTACGCCGTAATGGTTTCAAATCATGCACTGCACGGAAGGTTCCCCTGCTCAAGTCATCACATATCCAGGCCCGTCTGAAGTTTGCCAATGACCATCTGGATGATCCAGAGGAGGCATGGGAGAAAGTCATGTGGTCAGATGAGACCAAAAAGTAGAACTTTCTGGTCTAAACTTCACTTGTCGTGTTTGGAGGAAAAAGGATGAGTTGCATCCCAAGAACACCATCCCTACTGTGAAGCATGGGGGTGGTAACATCATGCTTTGGGGGTGCTTTTCTGCGAAGGGGACAGGACAACTGCCCTGTATTAAGGAGAGGATGAATGGGGCCATTTATTGTGAGATTTTGAGCAACAACCTCCTTCCCTCAGTCAGAGCATTGAAGATGGGTCGTGGCTGGGTCTTCCAACATGACAACGACCCAAAGCACACAGCCAGGATAACCAAGGAGTGGCTCCGTAAGAAGCATATCAAGGTTCTGGAGTGGCCTAGCCAGTCTCCAGACCTAAATCCAATAGAACATCTTTGGAGGGAGCTGAAACTCCGTGTTGCTCAGCGACAGCCCCAAAACCTGACAGATCTAGAGGAGATCTGTGTGGAGGAGTGGGCCAAAATCCCTGTTGCAGTGTGTGCAAACCTGGTCAAGAACTACAGGAAACGTTTGACCTCTGTAATTGCAAACAAAGGCTTCTGTACCAAATATTAACACTGATTTTCTCAAGTGTTCAAAAACTTATGTTCAGCAGTGCAAGACAAATAAATTCTTTAAAAATCATACAATGTGATTTCCTGAATTTTTTTTTTTAATCTCTGTCTCTCAGAGTGGGAACGCACCTACAATTTGAATTTCAGACCCCTCCATGATCTCTAAGTGGGAGAACTTGCAAAATCGCAGGGTGTTCAAATACTTCTGTTCCTCACTGTATGATGGCAGGTGTGTACGGACTCCTATTTAACATGATTTTGAATATGATTGCTTCATTCTGAACACAGCTACATCCCCAGTTATAAGAGGGTGTGCACACTTATGTAACCACATTATTTTAGTTTTATATGTTTACTTCCCTCCCCTAAAAGTTTTCAGTTTGTTTTTCAATTGAGTTGTACAGTTTATGTCACATTAAAGGCAGAAAAAGTTCTGAAATTATTTGTCTAATTTTTTTACATAACAGAAACCTTAAATTTTAACAGGGGTGTATAGACTTTTTATATCCACTGCAGATCTATGAAGCCACTGGTTTCTCTGAGACCATTCAAGTTTTATCCTGTGTTGAGCCCCGATGAAGGGTGATTGGTGTTGCCCCCCAAATGTGTGGGCTGTTTTTATAGGACTTTTTTTTTTTTTTTTTTTTTTTTTTAAATAACAATTACAATTTTTTTGGACTTTATCCGATTTTGGTCTGGCACTCCTTTTTGTTTTTCTGTGGTTTGTATTGTATCCCTCGGACTGTAAATAGCTTTAGCATTAGTATATTTAAACAAAAGATGTGCCGAGAGCGTGCGTCCTGCGTGCTTCCTGGCACATTTACCAGCGCCTGACGGAAATGTCTTGATTGCTACTTGCAGTCAGGAACTTTCTGATTATGTGACTGCCATGACAGCCAATCAAGGTGGTCACATGACCCTAAACCCGGCTCTGCTTTCGAACATCACAAACCCTCCCTCTCGGTGATAAGGGGCTAATGCTACTTCTGGGTCAGTTTCCTTAGCTTTACTGTAAGAATTAGACAAACAGAAACAATTGGGATTCATTTTCAACTTGAAAACCATTGGGGTTCTTGTCTGAGATTTTCACAAATACTATGTGGGCTCTTATTCGAGATTTAAAAAAAAAAAAAAAAAAAAAAAAAAAGAACATACAAAATTTAGGTTCCATTTCAGACCTTGGCAGATTTCTTGGAACTGGAGTGGTGTTACATGAGGTGGGCAGCGTGAAAGGTATTTGCACTGTTCCTTTACAGGTATGCCTTTATATGAAAATGTAATATAGTGACAGACACAAGAGGGCACTTCTAAGTGCAGCAAATAGGATAATTTATTAATAAAAAGCAAATTAACCACTCACATGTAGTTGGATAAAAAAGTGCATGTCATGTTTTCAAAAAGCCATCATCCATGGAACCCTGTGCTTGTGTGCCTTCTGATGCTGGCGGTTCTGCTTCCTACTATTGCCTGGGTTCCATGTATGAAAGATTTTTGAATGCATGACATTCACTTTTTTTATCTAACTACATGCGAGTGGTTAGTTTGCTTTTTATTAATATATGATCATATTTGCTGCACTTAGATCTGCCCTCTTGTGTCCCTTTGCAATACTACAGATATCTCTTTGTTCTGCTGAAAAGCTGCGCCAAGGACATTCAAGCCAGCTGGTCTAATTGCACTATACCCAATGTGGACTCATGAACTGTACAGTTAGGTCTTTACCACTCTTGAGGTCACTGGCTGTTTGTGCTATAACAGATTTTATTTTGTATAATATAGCGACAGGAATGCTTTAAATTAAAGGGTATATGTCAAAGCGTTACACCTGTTGGGAAAGCCTCATATGGAAGCTCCCATATAGGCTTCAACTCATCAATTTGATTTCTCCAAAGCATACATGAAGAGTTGGAGCTGGAAACTGGCAACTTTCAGATAGTTTACACCAAAATTCAACATTTTTTTTGTACAGAATAAAAAATAAAAAAAAAACACAGACTAGGTCAAGTACACAATAAAAATGTATGTAGTGAAAACAGTACTGGGTAAATGTACACCATTTATTTAAAAAAGGTATAGCCAAAATAGCTTTTGGTAACTGACGAACAAAAAAAGTGTTTGTTAGAAATTGTTCAATGTAATCATCAGAAGCTTGCCCCATTATTTACAGAAATTGTAGTAGTTCCAGGACTAGTTAAAATTATATGTAAAAAAATAAACCCCAATGTCCATCGAAGAACATCTGCATTCCTTAAACGAATGGATCCAACAATATCAAACTCCTGTCACTGGCCACTTAAAAATGCCAAATGGCCTTTTGTACATCTGTTGGCATAATGTCCTTTCTCGCCACACTGTAAAACAGAGTGAAAAACTTAAATGTACACATTCATGTATGCTTTTATGAAAACGTTTCCTCCATCAACAGCATTTTTCTCCATTTTAGAAACATAGTAAAAGTACATTAAAAATCTGGAGCACACACCTTCCCCAATTCCCTATGTTCTCTCCAAATTTTTTTTTATTAGATCTCTACAACTCTAACTCTATAGGACAGTTTCACACAATATTGTATGTCCTATGTATTTTGTTAATACTGCTGTTACAGGACTTGTAGTGCTGGTTGACTGTCTGAACTATGCATTATTTTGTTCATATTGTTGCTATAAAGTGTTTAGAAAAATTTGGAATACAACACCTGGTTTTCATTACAAAATACATACTGAATGTAATATTTGTGATTCAAAAGTAAAGTAATGACCGAAAGAGTATTTATTTTAAAAAATACAGAGATTTATGAAACTGCCTGTATATTTGTTCTGTGTAAAAAGAGGCAAAATCGAATGTTACTCGCTATTTTCTCTCCAGATCGTATGTTATTCATTCATTAAAAATAGAGCAGTTCGGGAAAATACCACATAATGGCAATCATAGTAAATACGTAATAATTTCCTATGATCATCAACTCCATCTATTGGCCATAATGAGGTATCTTCAGGATTTATTCTATTCTTTATGAATAAATGACATTTTACCTGGAGAGAAAACAGCCTAGTTACATTCGATTTTGCCATGAATTGCACAAAACAAATGTGCAGTTTTACAGGACAAATAGGTCCCTTTTTAATTTTTTTTAAAGAACTGCAAGGGGTACAATCTGGATATTTTAAACGATAATTAAAATTATTCATTTTAAAAAATTTTTTTTTAGTGAATCTATTCTTTCCTGTGATCAGTCTGTATGAGACAAAACCTCTCAGTTATACATAAAGGGACCATATACACTAGGGATGCAGCAAAATTTTGGCGGCCAAAAAATAGCCCTATCAGCATTTTGCCAATAGGACAATTTGAAAATACAAGATACGTATACAAGTGCTGATAGGGGGCTGTATATACTGCATATGGGGTGGGGGGGGTGAAGAATGGCAGGAAAGGAGCAGTGTATATCGTGAAATACCACTAAATGTCACTGCTGGATTTTAAAATTACTGGCTTTTTTCCCCCCTTCACTATAGCTCCAAGAATGAGCTATCATTCTCCCCTCCGCTAAGGGAAACGAAAGGGCGGGGTCACCCATTGACCCCCATCCCTTAGTTTCCCTTAGTGGAGGGGAGAATGACAGCTCATTCTTGGAGCTATAGTGAAAGGAGAAAAAAAAAAAAAAAGCTGGTAATTACATTTAAAACCCTGCAGTGACATAGGGGCAGCCAGTGAGGGAGCCTGAGTGTATACACTGCTCCTTACCTGCCCCCTCCTTGCACACACTGCCCGCCCCCTCCTTGCACACACTGCCCACCCCCTCCCCCCTACAGAAAGGACCTGTCACTCATATGCTATTACATAGGAGACTATTGGTCTCCTATGTGATAGCAATAAAATCATAATAAAAATACACATTAAAGTTAAAAAAAATTATACAAATACTGTTTTTGGCCACGTGCATTCTGAATTTTCTGTTCCTGTTTCGGCACCAGAATTTTCATTTCGGTGCACCACTCATATACACCTGTTCAAAAGGATAAAAGAAAAATGCTTTACAGGTAACATCATGTTATAGCTGACCTTATAGCAGGTGACCTGATCAAGTGGCCTAGGTCCCCGGTTTCCGGTATTGTTGCTCTGTGTTTGCATGACTCCTATTGTCTGTGGAGATCGTTGACCTGGTGAGTTCTGACTTGTTAACTGTATAAGAGAGGACGATCTCTGTGACGCCTGGATATTATTTTGCTGTTAGAAAAAAAATAAAAAATATAAAACAAATTGCTAGATGTACAAAATCATGGCTGGTCGGTATTGGCAGGATTTTTTTTTTTTAATATGGCAAGTTGAAAAAGAAAATGTAGCAGCTATAAGGTACATTTACCTTTAATACTCTGTGTTATCGCTAAATACTGGGTCACTGTGACAATAAAGCTGTGATACTTCCAAGCATTGCTGAAGCATGACGTTACCTGCCACCCCACACACATTCCTATTGGCACATCACTTTGACAAGCAGCCATTCTGCCTTATAGGAATGTGCAGGAAAACTTAGGGAATATCAGGAAGTCCCAGAACTCCTCCATAAAAGCAGGGTATTAGAGATTACAGCAGGTATGTGATTTATATTTGTAGCCCTTTTTTAACATATTCTCTATAAATGTGTTCTAGTTGGAGTGTGCCTCTACAACCTAGCATGTGATGTGATAAGATTACCTTTTGCTGGTGCTGTGTTTGCTGAGGTAGAGGAGGTTGTTCAGTCGCTCCCATAGGTAGTTCAAACCGTGGGCTGCAAAAACAAATAGTATGGTTTATTCTGCCATATATATGTTTGAAACGAATACAATAGATGAATAATACCTAATGCTTTTGCAGTTGTCTGCAGAACTGTGGATAAGTAGAACAGGTGACAAATTGGCTGGAAGATTTTCAACTTGGCAGCTCATTAGCAACTAAAGTTAAAACTCAGGATAGCACAATAGCGCAGTAGTTCACTGGGACAAATCTTGGTTCAGCCAAGACACCATCTACATGGAGTTTGCAAATTCTCTGTGCTTGCATGGGTTTACCCTGGGTACTTTGGTTTCCTCCCACACTCCAAAGACATGCTAGGAGGTTAACTGGCTCTAATGTGTGCATAGGTTATAGGGATCTTAGACTGTAAGCTTCTTGAGGGCAGGGAATTTTGTAAATTATTAGTATATGTAAACTAACATTGCTATATACAGTATATACGTACAGTAAATGCCTGTAATAAATAAAATAGAAAACCTTTCTAGCGCTTTCTAGATATTGTATCTGCAGCTCTGCAATCACGTTTTGATCAGTGATGTTTATTGGTAGCCCTGTTCAAAATACTTTTAACTTATTCTCAAACCTTCCACTGAAGTAAAGTTGCCAGCATAAAGATCCAACAAGCACATATCACCACCATTAAAAGAAACTCCTATATCACAAAACACATTCAATCTTGAAAGAGTTATAAAAGAAGAGTGATTTAAAAGTCTGGGGCTCCATCAGAAGGAGAGGTATGACTTCAACTGAAAATATATGTAACTGTACTGAATCTTCCAAGGAGTGGCTGACCTGCCAACAGCACTTTGTAAAACTCCACCAAAAAGTCAAAAGAATCATTAAAGCGCATCTAAACTAGAAAACAATACTTTAACACAGCGGTTCTCAACCTGGGGGTCGAACGACCATTTCACAGGGGTCGCCTAAGACCATCGGAAAACACATATTTCTGATGGTCTTAGGAACCGAGACACCGCTCCTCTATCCGTCTCCAGGCGATGTGTGGGCGGGATGACATTCCGCCCCTGTCATCTGGCCACACCCCCATCTGGATCACTCAACAGCTCCACCTCCTGGACGGTGATTGGTCGCCAGAACTGTAGCTCAGGAGAGGAACACAGGCAGCCAATCACCAGTGAGGAGGTGGAGCTTGGAGAGGAGGAGCCTAGCGGCAGCGCAAAGATCAAAGAAGATTGAGTGAGGGAGCTGCCGGAGTAAGTGAAGAGGAGAGCGGCCGGGAGAAGGAAGACAGCTGACCGTTAAGTGTCTGTACCGTGCAGATAGTGCTGCTGCAGCCATGTATGCTGGCTGTAGATGGGAGAGGGAGGGAGCGAGCCCAGGCTGGAGCAGGGGTCAGCAAGGTAAGTATCATTGGTGTCAGTGGGAGGAATAGTGCCCTATCATTGCTGTCACTAATACCAATGATGGGGCACTATTCCTCCCACTGACACCAATGATGGGGCACTATTTCCCCCCCCACTGACACCAACGATGGGACACTATTCCTCCCCCCACTGACACCAATGATGGGGCACTATTCCCCCTCCCCCACTGACACCAATGATGGGGCACTATTCCCCCCCACACTGACATCAATGATGGGGCACTATTCCTACCACTGACATCAATGATGTGGCACTATTCCTCCCACTGATACCAATGATGGGACACTATTCCTCCCACTGATACCAATGATGGGACACTATTCCTCCCACTGACATCAGTGATGTGGCACTACTCCTCCCACTGACACCAATGATGTGGCACTACTCCTCCCGCTGCAAAATTACAGCTATAAAGTATACAATGAAAATAATTTTATGGTTGGGGGTCACCACAACATGAGGAACTGTATTAAAGGGTCGTGGCATTAGGAAGGTTGAGAATCACTGCTTTAACACATTGCAGCTTTACCAGTGCTTGGATGTGCTAGCTGCAATTTGTTTCTCTGTTTAGTCTTTTTTTTCCTTTTATGTTTACCTGATGATCTGGCCTGTATCACCCTTCCCATCTTAGGGCAGCTACATTTGCTCCTCCACTCTATCTATGGAGGAGAAATGTGGACACCCTTGGACAGTGGCATTGTTATCCTCTGAAAAGGAGTAGTGTTAGATAGAATAGTAGATTTCGATGGATTTACATACGTGACCAACTAATTGAAGCTTAACTCCAGCTAACACTGCTTAAACAGTTACAGAAACAGGTTATTTTTCCCCTTTTTGGATAAAGGTTTTACATAAGTATCCCAACCATGGCACCACCTGCCTGGAGTTTGCATGTTCTCCCTGTGCCTACGTGGGTTTCCTCCAGGTACTCTGGTTTCCTCACACACTCCAAAGACATGCTGGAAGTTTAGTGGATCTTGTCTATATTGGCCCTAGTATGTGTATGTATGAATGTAAATTAGGGACTTTAGATTGTACACCCCTTGAGGGTTAGGGACTGATGTGAATGTAAAATATATATGTAAAGTGCTGCATAAATTGACAGCGCTATATAAGTACCTGTAGTAAATAAATAATAAAAATAAATGAATAAAAGCTGACCACTATTAGTGTTAAATTGTTTGTCTAAACCCTCTAACTGCCACTTTTTCTAGAATGAGTCAGTCTTACTGTCTGGATAAACAAGTGACAAAGGAGAAAAAAAAAAAGCCTAAAAAAAGAAAACTAATACACCACATCCAAGGACTGGTCACCTGCAATGTGTTACATTTGTGGTTTTGAGGTAAGAAAGACTTTACAAACTTCCTAAGAACTACAGATTTCTCAAAAAAGGTCAGTGTTCCTAAATCCACAATCTGAAATTCACTACTAATGAAGAACAACAAATTCTTGTCTCTCATTTGCCAAAAGCATTTAGATCTTTGGTGCTCAACCTGCAGCCCTTGGGGCTCCTGTAGACAGTAGTCTTTCCTACCTCGCCTGGATGGCTGCTCAGGCCAAAAAAAGGTAAAAATGTTTTTTAGATCGGGTCCTAGTAGTTAAATGGCTTGTTTTATTTCTTTCCCATTATCATACTTATTTTTCTGTGCTACCCATCCTTTTTCACTTTTTAGATTTTTCCCCTTTGATATGTTATAATGGACCTTGTTAGGAGAAATATCAAAGCAGCATAAATAATTTCTAGGAGGCCTGTAGGGAACACATTCATGAAGTAGTTGATCTGTAAAGGGCTGTAATAGCAGGGATCTCTAGCAGCTTCATGTAGTGTGTCTCTAGTCTATGGGGTTAATTTACTAAAGGCAAACAGGCTGTGTACTTTGCACTGTGAAGTTGCACTAATTTTCCCCATAAGTTAGTGAATGTGGTAAAACTGTGACAATTTCCATCATCCAATCATGGGCAAGAAAAAATGCATTTTTTTTCTTTTCGTTGCACCTGATTGGGCACTCTTTGCAAAGTAAAGCTTCACCACATTCGCTAAGCTCTAGGGAAAATGAGTGTAAAATGCACAGTCTTTAGTAAATCAACCCCCATGATTCCCCAGTTTCCAAAAACTCCTGTAAGATGTCTGAAAGCTTTATGTAGCTTTACATTCACTGTATGTTATGCGCAGCCTTTTGGTGATGTCAGAGGCCGCACCTGAGGCCCCCTGCATCAAGAAAGTTGATCACCACTGATCTAGATAATCCTGCAGGCTTCTGGCAGAATATTTTATGCTTAGGTGAAAAAAAAAAAAAAAGATTAGAAAATTCTACATAAACAAACAATCTACCTACCTTACGAAAATTGGAAGCTCAAATCTAAAAACATATGTGTTACCCTTTCCAGGCTCATGCATTTTAAAAACTCTGAAGGCCCCTAAATTCTGATTTGATCGGACCATAATGAACTTCAATAAAATGGGATTTTTGTTACTGTAAAATCCCTTTCTCTGAGTTCATTGATGGGCACAGCTCTTCTATTATTGACCATAGGGTTATAGTGCCACCTACAGGAGTACAACATTTGGCAGAAAAAAAAAAAAACAACGAAAGAACACAGAACTGTCTATGGGCTGTTATAAATCCTCTCTCTGCTATAGACAGGCCAATTAGTCACAGAGTAGTGTAAAAAGACAAAAAAAAACTCAAGAATATGGGTGGGTGCTGTGTCCGTCAATTAACTCAGAGAAAGGGAGTTCACAGCGAGTAACAAAAAAAAAAATCCAGTTTTCTCTTACGTTCCTTGATTGACATAGCTCTTCTATTCCTGACCATAGGAACGTGCCTTAATGACGGCTGGTCAAATCAAGAAACTGGGGCAACCAGGCAAATATGCCAACCACCCACACAAACCTCCTTCCCTAAGGGGGGGGGGGGGTGTTCAAGGAACCTTAAACAGCGGACTGCAAAACCTTGTGCCAAAAGAAACAGCAAGAACATGCGATCACAGCAACTTAGTAGAAGTGTACACAGGCGACCAGGTAGCTGCCTTGCAAACCTGAGACACAATCACCTGATATCAGAATGCCCAAGAGGCACCAATCGCTCGGGAGGAGTGTGCAGTAATGGCATAGGGCCGAAGCCCGGCCCTTAAGAAAACCCGAACATTCATCTGCCGAATACCTCAGGAAAAAAATGGCTGAGAAGCCCACCAGGTCATTCCAGGGGGCCATCCATGATCATAAAAAAGGAATTTAGCCTCCAAAAGGAAGCCACAGCAGCCAGATATACACAAACCGCCCAGATTACATGAATGCAGCACAACTTCTTCCGGGGTGCGAAGGTCGTGGATACATCAAAGGCAGGACAATATCCTCAACCTGGTGTTAATCCGACACTACCTTCAGAAGGAAGGAGGAAAAAAAGGGACAGAGAACCCCTTTATCCCGTGTAAGACCGAAGTGGAAAAAAGAAAGATTTTAAAAAAGAAAAAGCTATGGAAACTGACCAGTGAACTAGGTCATTATTCCTTGACCACTTTGCTACTGGGCACTTTTACCCCCCTCCTACCTCAGTCAATTTTCAGTTCTGTCGCATTTTGAATAACAATTGCGTGGTCATGCGACACTGTACCTAAACAAAATTTTGATAATGTTTTTGAGACAGATATAGCTTTCTTTTGGTGGTATTTAATCACCACTGGGTTTTTTATTTTTTGCTAAAACTAAAAAAGCCTGAAAATGTTTTAAAATAACAATTTTTTTCTTAATTTCTTTTTTAAAATTTTGTAAATAAGTAATTTTTCTCCTTCACTGATATGTGCTAATGAGGTTGCAGTGATGGGCACTGATAAACTGCACTGATGGGCAATGACAGGTATCACTGGTGGGCACTGAAAGGCAGCACTCATATATGGCACTGATAGGTACTACTGATTGGAACTGTTAGGTGGCACTGATAGGAGTCACTGATGGGCACTGATAGGTGGCATTCATGGGCACTGACAGGTGGAAATTATGGGCACTGACAGGTGGCAATTATGGGGCTACACTGATCATTAGGGCACTGATGATCAGTGCCCTGATGATCAGTGTACATGTCCCCTCTGAGGAATGTTGCTTACCAGCTCTCCTCTCCTCGCGCGCTGTCAGTGTGAGGAAAGGACTGCCGATAACCGGCTTTTCCTATTTACATGTGATCAGCTGTGATTGGGTACAGCTGATCACATTGCAGAGTCTGTGTCATCGGCTCTTTACTGCCATCGGTGATCTGCTGTGTCCCAGGGACACAGCGTACCACCGATCGACAGGGCGCCCATTGCAGCTAGAGCTAAAGACATCATATGACGTACTCCAAGAACAAGAGAACCGCCGCCCTCACGTCATTTACTTATATGGTGGGCGGGAGGTGGTTAAAGAGCTTGTAAAGGCAGAAGGTGTAAGGTAAGGTAGAAAAATACTTTATGCATGCAGCTTTCCTCACAGCCCCCTTAAATACATTCCTGAGCCCAATCTTGATCCAGAGATGTGCATGACAGCGTAGGCTCTTTCGCTCCTCATTGGCTCAGATACAGCGTCAGGAGCCAACATTCTTGGTATTTTAATTAAAAGAAAAAAAAAAAACAAACAAAAAAGGATTACAATCGCTTTGAACACAAGACAGAAAAATCTGCCTTGACTATAGCAGAGAGGAGGTTTATACCAGCTAAGACTGCCCAAAGGCGGTGATGTGTATTTCAGCCTAGTGTCCTACTCCTGTAGGTGGCGATGAGGTTTCTTTCATATATGACAGGGAAAGCCCATACCTAAATTGATTGAATGACCTCACTGAATTAAATACATGTTTACAAACAATTTATACATGCATACTACAATCTAACTGTACAATCTCCCTTACAATTAACAAAACTATAATGTGAGGACTTGCCTGAACTAGCCAATCAATTTGTATTCAATTAGGCACAGAAAACCCCCATGCAAAACACAAAGGAAAAACACAAATAAAATGTCTAGATGTCAGCATGCTCATTTCATAAAAACATTTTATACCTAGTTGTTTGGTTTTATGCTGCTTTTACAATAGCACTTGAATGAACAAGAGGAAAGGGAACTCACTGCATAAATTTACAGCCAGGGCCTTCTGGACAAAATCCCACCAAATAGTTGACACATATAACTCTGCGTGTATGCCGATGTCTGCACAAAGGACCTTTAAGCACAAAAACAAGTGTTATTTTATAAAAAGTCACTAATTACAACAGGTATTTTTATCAGGCAGCCTGGTCATGCTTCTTACCATGTTTACAGAAACCTCGATCATACCAAGGGCAATCTTTTATCTTCGATTCTGGGTCGATGTGTAAAAACGGACATTCCTTGTTGCTGCACTCACCTAGTAAATAACAGATTCAGTTAACCACTTGAGCTCCACAAGATTTTACCCCCTTCATGACCAGGCCATTTTTTTCTATTTAGCACTATGCTTGCTACTTTAACTGGTAATTGTGCAGTCATGCAAATCTGTACCCAAACAAAATTGATATAATCTTTTTCAAACAAACAGAGCTTTCATTTGCTGGTGGTTGATCACCAATAGGTTTTTAATTTTTTCAATATAACAAAAAAAAAAAAAAAGACCAAAAATTTGGAAAAAAAACCCTTTTTTTAAACTTTCCGCTATAAAACATATCCAATAAAAAATAAATAAATAATAAAATGTCTTCATAACTTTTGGCCAAAATGTATTGTGGTATATGCCTAAAAATCTCAACAAGTACATATTGATTAGTTTGTGTGAAAGTTATACCATCTACACAAACTATACTATATATACTGGAATTTTTATTTATTTTATACTACTAATGGTGGTGATCAGTGACTTATGATTGGGAGTAAAATACTGCAGTGGGCAATCTGAAACTAACTGGTGCTGGGGGGGAAACGGACTAACTGCCACTGACATCACCAGTGACAATAATACAGTGATGAGCGATAATATTAACATCTAGTGCAATCAAGGGGTTAAATGTGTGCCTAACAATGTGTAATGTGTGTAATGTGTGCTGCTTTTACTTAATCTCTAAATCTCTCATCCCTACTTTGCAGGGATGAGAAACAGAGATTGTCCTCTATGTACCACACTCAATTATTAACACAGGGCTCTGGGCTGTGATTGCACACAGCCAATCAGCAGGTCCAGGCCTTGAATCATTGGCTGGGACTTACTGACAGGCTCCCACTGTGTACAATCACAGTGGGTTCTGGCAAGTGAGCGTGCATGTGCGTACCCAAAACCAGGAAGTGGGCAGCGACGTTTGGGTATGTTGCTTTGCCTACAGGGGCTGCCCATCTGCAGTACATTGCGGGCAGTTGTTAGGTGGTTAAAGTGCATCTATGGTCAAAATCTAAAATCATATAATAAATTTCCAACCTACTCCCTATTAACAGAACATATGTGCCGAGCAAGGTGAATGGGCTTTAATGCCCAAGTGCCACACGTATGCATCCATGGGTGTCTAAAGTTTCTGTGCTGACAGTGTACTTGCTGTGCGTCCCAGCACAGTGGCCAAGCTGTCAAAGACAGCGGAACTGGCTCCTATGCATGTGACCACTGTGACAGCCAATCATAGTGGTCACGTGATCAGGCAGAACTTGCTGTCCCCCAGGCATAATAGCCTCGTTAAAAGGGACACTGGGGCTTGAGCAGGGGGGTTATTCTGAACGGTCTTCAAATATGTAAACCAACGTTGAAAGTGAAAATCTCCACACATTTACTTTGACTTTCAAGTAAACTTATAGTAGATTGTTAAAACCAACTATTGTTTGTATTGGTATTACAATGCTGATGTTATAAAATGAATGTGTATGCTGCGACCATAGATTTCCTTTAACCACTTCAATACCGGCATACCCCCTTACTGCCACTTCAATACCCCTTACTGCCCAGGCCAATTTTCAGCTTTCAGCGCTGTTGCACTTTGAATTACAATTGCGCGGTCATAAAATTGTTATTTTTTTTTCACACCAATAGAGCTTTCTTTTGGTTGTATTGTATCATCACTGAGTTTTTTATTTTTGCTAAATAAAACAAAAACACCTGAAACTTTTGAATAAAAAAAAACAAAAAAAAAAAACTCACTTTTCTTCGCTTTTGTTATAAAATTTTGCACATAAATAACATTTCTTCATAAATTTATGTCAAAATTTATTGTGCTACATTTCTTCGGTGAAAATAATAATTGAATTTTGTATTTATTTTTCAAATGTTTCTATTTTTTATTATATTTTTTCATTTTTTTACTATTTTATTTTTCAGCACACTGTGACCAAACAATACAATGTTACCATAGTAACACTGAACTACTCTGGGCAAGTGATCAGGATTTTAATGGTTTTTTTTAACACATTATGATTGCTAATACCAATGTATTTCATTGCTATTTGCAATCATTGTTAGGGAATAAAACTGACTAATTCAGTCTTTTGTTGTGATTAGCTGTGATTGGGCAAAGCTGATCACATGATACAGATGGGCTGTGATTGGCCCTGTCTGTATCATGTGACTGCCTTGACCAGTCACAGCTAACAACATAATTGTATACAAAGGAAGCCATTCATTGTATACAATTGACATGTGATCTGCTGTGATTGGTCACAGTGGTCACATGACACTGGCAACGGCCAGTGTAGTGATATGTCATCGGCTGTGTCCTGTGGACACAGCCGGTGACAGATCGCGCCGCTGCTCTGCCCTGTGGGTGGCTCGTTGTGACAGGACATCGTATGACCCCAGTCACAATGGCGAGTGTCCTCCCCGGCCGTCAATCTGCTATAGGCCAGGTGGGAAGGTGTTAAATTACTGCGTGAATCAAAAACACAAAAATATCTGTATTACCTGATAACAGGATTTTAGTGAAAACAAGAAAAGTATCTTTAGGAGAATTTAAAGCTTCCAACAATATTTTCATTGCTGCCTGTGCTTTGCTGCCCTGCTGATGACCAAACTACATTTACAGTGCCTTTAAAAAGTATTCAAACCCCTTGAAATTTTCCACATTTTGTCATGTTACAACCAAAAACGTAAATGTATTTTATTGGGACTTTATGTGATAGACCAACACAAAGTGGCACATAATTGTGAAGTGGAAGGAAAATTATAAATGGTTTTAAACATTTTTTACAAATAAAAATCTGAAAAGTGTGCCATGCATTTGTATTTAGCCCTCTTTACCCTGATATCCCTAACTAGAATCTAGTGGAATGAATTGCCTTCAGAAGTCACTTAATTAGTAAATAGAGTCTACCTGTGTGTAATTTAATCTCAGTATAAATACAGCTGTTCTGTGAAGCCCTCTGAGGTTTATTAGAGAACAAACAGCATCATGAAGGCCAATGAACACACCAGACAGGTCAGTGATAAAGTTGTGGAGAAGTTTAAAACAGGGTTAGGTTATAAAAAAATATCCCAAACTTTGAACATCTCATGGAGCACTGTTCAATCCATTATCCAAAAATGGAAAGAGTATGGAACTGCAAACCTAGCAAGAGATGGCCGTCCACCTAAACTGACAGGCTGGCCAAGGAGAGCATTAATCAGAGAAGCAGCCAAGAGGCAAATGGTAACTCTGGAGGAGCTGCAAAGATCCACAGCTCAGGTGGAAGAATCTGTCCACAGGACAACTATTAGTAGCGCACTCCACAAATCTGGCCTTTATGGAAGAGTGGCAAGAAGAGAGCCATTGTTGAAAGAAAGACAAGCAGATTGCGAGAAGCCATGTGGGAGACACAGCAAACATGTGGAAAAAGGTGTTCTGGTCAGATGAGACCAAAATTGAACTTTTTGGCCTAAAGGCAAAACGCTATGTGTGGCGGAAAACTAACACTGCACATCACCCTGAACTCACCATCCCCACCGTGAAACATGGTGGTGGCAGCATCATGGTGTGGGATGCTTTTCTTCAGCAGGGAAGCTGATCAGAGTTGATGGAAAGATGGATGGAGCCAAATACAGGGCAATCTTAGAAGAAAACCTGTTAGAGTCTGCAAAAGACTTGAGACTAGGGCAGAGGTTCACCTTCCAGCAGGACAACAACCCTAAACATACAGCCAGAGCTACAATGGAAGGGTTTATATAAAAAAATATTCATGCGCTAGAATTGCCCAAAGTCCTGATCTATACCCAATTGAGAATTTGTGGCAAGACTTGAAAATTGCTGTTCACAGATGCTCTCCATCCAATCTGACAGAGCATGAGCTATTTTGCAAAGAAGAATGAACAAAAATTTCACTCTCTAGATGTGCAAAGCTGGTAGAGACCTCTCCAAAAAGACTTGCAGCTGTAATTACACCGAAAGGTGGTTCTACAAAGTATTGACTCGGGGGCTGAATACAAATGTATGCCACACTTTTCAGATATGAATTTGTAGAAAACATTTTAAAACCATTTATCATTTCCCTTCCATTTCACAATTATGTGCCACTTTGTGTTTGTCTATCACATAAAATCCCAATAAAATACATTTACACTTTTGGTTGTAACCAGTGGTGTATTTAGACTTTGTGCTGCCCTAAGCAACACAAAGATTTTGCGCCCCCCCCCCCCCCCAATTAGAGAGCGAGAGAGAGTGTGTGTGTGTACACAGTTGTGTTCAAAATAATAGCAGTCAGACATCACTAACCTGATCAATCACTGTTTTTGGTAGAAATGATATTTCTACATGGCAAATAATTTACTAGCAGGTGTGGTACAGTAATAGAAATCCAACAGACCCAACAGTCATGACATGCATGCTGCTGATTCTGTGTAATTGAATCATTAATTGAAAGGGGCATGTTCAAAATAATAGCAGTGTGGAGTTCTATTAGTGAATTCATTCATTCTTTGAAAAACAGGTGGCAATTATTGCCCTTATTTAAGGAAGGAAGGCAGCAAATGTACATGCTGGTTGCAGTGCATTTCTCTCTGAAATTCTGAGGAAAATGGGTCGTTCCAGACATTGTTCAGAAGAACAGCGTACCTTGATCAAAAAGTTGATTGGAGAGGGGAAAACATATAAAGAAGTGCAGAAAATGATAGGCTGCTCAGCTAAAATGATCGCAAATGCTTTAAAATGGCAACCAAAACCTGAAAGACGTGGAAGAAAGCGAAAAAACTACCATTCGAATGGATAGAAGAATAGCCAAAATGGCAAGGACTCAGCCAACAATCAGCTCCAGGAAGATCAAAGAAGGTCTAAAGTTACCTGTGAGTACTGTTACAATTAGAAGACGCCTATGTGAAGCCAAGCTATCTGCAAGAAGCCCCCGCAAAGTCCCACTGTTGAAAAAAAAGACGTGCTGAAGAGGTTACAATTTGCCAAAGAGCACATTGACTGGCCTAAAGAGAAATGGCGCAACA